TATATATATATATATATATAATTATTTTATATTTTAATATATTTTTAATATACACTGCCATTAAAAAGTTTGGGATCAGTAAGATTTTTCATATTTTTTTTATGGAGTCTCTTCTGCTCATCAAGGCTGCATTTATTTGTTCAAAAATACAGAAAAAACAGTAATATTGTGAAATATTATTGCAATTTCTATTGGTTTCCTATTTTAATATTCTTTAAAATATGAATTATTTCTGTAATGAATAAATGTATAATTTATAATTAATTGCAGCACTGAATTTTCATCAGCAATTACTCCAGTCTTCAGTGTCACATGATCCTTCAGAAATCATTATAATATGCTAAATTCTTATCAGTGTTGAAACTGTTGCTGCTTAATATTTATTTATTTATTTATTTTATTTTATTTTGGAACCTGTGATACTTTTTTCAGGATTCTTTGATGAATAAAAAGTTAAAAAGAACAGCATTTATTAAAATAGATGAATGATATAGATTATAACACAGGAATAAATTTCATTTTAAAATATATTACAATAGAAAATATCAATTTTAATTTGTAATAATATTTCACAAAATTGCTGCTTTTACTGTATTGTTGTTGAAATAAATGCAGCCTTGGTGCACAAGATAATTATTTAAAAAATCTTACCAACCCCAAACCTTTGAACGGTAGTTTTAAGATCTGATTTCTAAAAGCTATGGCCAGTTACACAACACTCTTTTCCAGAGCAGCATCCCAAAAATTGCCTTCCTGCTTCCCCAGCATAGCTATCACTCACATAAAGGTAGATCACCTAGAAACCTAGTGTGCGCTCACACCCTGAAAATGCCCGACACACAGACAGACACAATAGAGACTCTTTGTGCTTGTCATTCATCGTGTGCTGTATTCTGAACAGCAGGATGAGTAAGCGGGGCTATGAGTGTGTGGGTCACTATTATCATACAAAGCTGTGCGTCTTGCACTGGGCTCTCACCTTATTCTCCACCTGTGTGCGTTTGTGTGGAGTGGAAGAGAGCATCGAGTAAGCCTTTGAGATGGAAATATCTGCAGCTACAGCTGCTCAAACCGAAAGTGGCAATACAGCCCGTCCCTTTGATCTGCTGATGGATGCAACAGTTAACCCACGAAAAAACATCAATCATCTGTGGAGAAACACTGTAGACAACTATAAGATGTGACAAATGTCATTATAGAACAGTTGTTAGTGTTTGGACCACAAATAGAATTGGAGAAATGATGAGTGATGTGTTTAAATGAATAGTTTGCCCCAAAATTAAAAATTGCTGAATATTTACTCACCCACTAGCCATCCAAAGTGACTTTAGAGATTTGGAGTAATTCAGCATTGCATCACTTTCTCACCAATAGATCCTCTGCAGTGAATGGGTACCGCCAGAATGAGAGTCCAAACAGCTGATAAAAACATCACAATAATCCATCAGAATCCCATTTTGTTCTGTGTCAACAAAATTGAGGGGTGTGTAAATTGAGTGCTGACTGCAAGGCAGAAATAAAATTAGCCAACCAGTGAGGATCAAACAGCCATTGTTTGTCAAGGTTGATTCAATTAAAGGGATAGTTCACCAAAAAAATGAAAATTCTGTCATTAATTACTCACACCCATGTTGTTCCAAACCCGTAAGATGTAAGAGAAAGGTAGTAAGGACATTGTTAAAATAGTCCACCCCTGATGTCACATGGACCATTTTAACGATGTCCTTACTACCTTTCTGGGCCTTGAACGTGGTAGTTGCATTGCTGTCTATGGAGGGTCAGAAAGCTTTTGGATTTCATCAAAAATATCTTAATTTGTGTTCTAAAGATGAACAAAGGTCTTATAGGTTTGGAACGACATGAGGGAGAGTAATTAATAACAGAATTTTCATTTTTGGGAGAACTATCTCTTTAAGGCTAATAATGAGCCGCACATTAGCTTAAAGGATGATAAACACTGAGGCCGCCTTTTAAACTGACCCTACTGACTCTCATACACTACATGAATTATAAGATCAGATTGTTATACAGTTTAAGTCTGTTTCTTTTGCAGACATGATGGATAGCTCATAATATGTAAACATGGCCTCATTATAAGGTATATTTCCATCATACTAAAGGTTGACAGTTACCTCAACTACTAGTCGACACTATAGTATAGTGAACCTTACCATTAAAGAGAATTATATTCCTCTGAATAGCCACTGTTCGGTGTTTGAACTGAATCCAGCTGATTTAAATGGACAGCTTGGTCTGCATTCGTGCCCTGAGTGTCTCGTCTGGGTCTCGGAGGATCTCCAATAAAGAGAAAAATAGTACAACTAAATTCACTGCTGTTCAATATTTGAGGTCAGTACGTTTTTTATTTTTTATTTTTTTATACTTTTATTCAGCAAGGACAGTAAATACCTTTATAATGTTACAAAACAAAAAAGTTAAATAAAGCTTCTTTTTTTTTAAAACCTTTATCTCAGCAAAGCCATAATGAAAAATAATCACAGAAATATTAAGCAGCACAACTGTTTTCAACATTAATAAGAAATGTTTCTTGAGCATCAAATCAGCATATTAGAATGATTTCAAAAAGATCATGCGTCACTGAAGACTAGAGTAATGATGCTGAAAATTCAGCTTTGCATCACAGGAATAAATTTGAATTTAAAATACAGTTGAGGTCAAACATTTACAGAATCTGCAAAATGTTAATTATTTTACCAAAATAGGAGGGATCACACAAAATGCGTTATTGTTTATTTAGTATTGACCTGAATAAGATTTCACATAAAAGATGTTTAAAGAGAAAATAATAGTTGAAATTTTAAAAATGAACCCGTTCAAAAGTTGACATCCCCTTGATTCTTAATACTGTGTTGTTACCTGAATGATCCACAGCTGTTTTTTTTTTTTTAGTGATAGTTGTTCATGAGTCCCTTGTTTGTTCTGAACAGTTAAACTGCCTGCTGTTCTTCAGAAAAATCCTTCAGGTCCCGCAAATTCTTTGGTTTTCCAGCATTTTTGTGTATTTGAACCCTTTCCAACCATGATTGTATGATTTTGAGATCCATCTTTTCACACTGAGGACAACTGAGGGACTCATATGCTACTATTACAGAAAGTTCAAACGCTCTCTGATGCTCCAGAAGGAAAAACCGTGCATTAAGAGCTGGGGGGTGAAAACTTTTTGAATTTGAAGATCAGGGTAAATTAAGCTTATTTTGTCTTCTGGGAAACATGTAACTATCTTCTGTAGCCTCAGAAGGGAAGTACTAAATGAAAAAAATATGATAGTTTTGCAGATTCTGAAAGGGGGGTGTAAACTTTTGACCTCAACTGTATATTCAAATAGAAATCAGTTATTTTAAATTGTA